AGGAAAGAATGACCCCTACGACAATCCATGGATCATTGGAACTGCCACTCTCACCACAGGCTGGGTGGGCAAGACCATTTCCTTCTATTTCATAGAGTGGGACCCTCTTATTGGTTTTAGCTTGCCAGGATGTACCTGCCCAGTGCCTCAGGGACACTGCCCCAGAACTGGGGGGCATGACCATAGCTGAGGGCCCGGGGAGTGATGCTGCCATCCCAAGGGCCTGAAGAAAACAGCATCAAGACATAACAGATTATTCTTGAAATTTAAGATCTATTGGGATTTGCCCTTCTATATCCTGGACTTGCTTGGGACCTGTTACCACTTTCTTCTTTCTGATTTCTTCCCTGTGGTATGAGAATGTTTATCCTAGGCCTGTCCTACTATTGTATTTTAGAAGCACCTAATTTGTCTAGTTTCACAGTTCACAGCTAAAAAAGAATTTTGCCTCAGGATGAATCATACCTAAAATCTCACCCACACCTGATTTAGATGATATTTAGATGAGACTTTGGACTTGAAATTGATGCTTGAATTAGTTGCAACTTTTGCGACTGTTGGAATAGGGTGGATATATTTTTTATTTGAGAAGGACATAAATTAAGGCAGGCAGAGAAAAGAATGTTATGGACTGAATTGTGCCCTCCACAATTTATATATTGAAGCCCTAACCCCCAATGTGACTATATTTGGAGAAAGGGATTTAGGAAGGTAATAAAGTTTAAATGAGGACATGAGCTAGTTCCTTAATCCTACAGGACTGGTGTTCTTATAAGAAGAGACACCTGAGGCCTCTCTCACTGCCTCTCTCTCCACACACTCAGAGGAAAGTCCATATGAGGAAAAAGTGAGAAGTAAGTTGTACACAGCCAGGAAGAGAAGATTCACCAGAAACCAACAGTAATATTACCTTAATCTTAGACTCCCAGCCTCCAGAACTGTGAGAAAATGAATTTCTCTTGGTTAAGCTATCCATTCTGTGATGTTTAGTTATGGCAGCCCTAGCAATGGACTTGAACTCTTTAAAGCTTTGGGGTGATACAGCAGTCTCCCCTGCTCTGGCTGTCCAGAGGATAATATCTAACATGAAGGCTATTCTGATTTTTCCTCCTAGAGTCCGTCATGGTGTGTTAAGTGGCGTGCTAAGTGATAAGGAGTCAGTGGTGAGCAAGGTGGACCCAATTCCTTCCCTCACAGACATGGTTTAAAGTATATAATGTTCACTTCATGCCTAGCTCCATTCCTTCCTTGAAATACATGCTAAAATGTTAACTTATCAGAGGTCTTTCCTGGCCACCTACCCAAAGAAAACATACCCTAACCATGAGCTCTCCCAATCCTGCATTGTCATTTGCCTTCTGTAACACAGCCAGCTTGATGTATTATGTATTCATTTTCTAATATGCTTGTTTTCTGTTTCTCCACTAGAAAATAATCTCCATGAGTCTATGGTCTTGGATTTTCCGCTGCTGCACCTTTACCAGTTAGGTAATGCCAGGCATCTGAAGGCATTCAACATATTTTTACCAATTTGAATTAATTAGAGAGTGAATAAATAAAAACACATAGCAAAGTGAAACTCTTAATTAAATCAACTCTTTAACTTCTCTCTGTGTGCTTTCCCATCATGTGAATCGCTTCTCTCTTCCTTGGTGTGTTTCTTTTCAGCACCAATTTTCCCCTCTGCTTTTTAACTGTCCCTACCTCTGTCTGTTTGTTTCTATTATCTCTAAACCTGCCTCATCTGCTCATACTCTCTCTCATCTCCCCCTTGGTTAGTTTCTGTTTTCATAACTTATCATAAGATACATTATATAATATGTTTTGAATTACATAAGTGGCATATGCATTCTTGTTAATTACAAAGCTGAGGAAATTATTTAGTTAAAATTCTATCTGAAAGAAAAGGCTAAGCAAAGTTTATATTTGATCTCCATCCTAGCTGACTAGTGATTCATGAATTAAAAATGTTTCTCAGTCCTATAACAACCCTAGCACTTCATTCCAAAGCCACTGATATTCCCACTTATACTAATATTTTAAAAAAATTAGATTTAGTTGCCAATATTAAAAACTGTTTAATGTCATATTTTTAAAACCCTAAAAACCTAGATTTTTGGTTTTTCTTGAGAAATCATATTCTAAAGAGGTTCTTGTTGCTGGCTAATTAGCAGCTCCCCTGTGTACCCTGGAGATTTCCCTTCCCCTCACCCATCACTCCTTTTCTGACTCTCTGCATCTGGATGCATTTGTCCATTGGCATCTCATGGTTGACTCCTGGAGATATTTAGATATTTAACATTATAGTCCCAATTAACACAAAGGAATATTTCCTATAGGAGATTTTACACACACACAGATATATATATGTGTGTGTGTATATATATATGTATATATACATATATATATAATGTCTACTTAAATAAAGCAACTGCATTCAGTTAAACTTTTCTGGAATATCTTAATGGTGTAAGAGGGACTTAAAATAGGGATCAATTTGGACAAGTATTATAGTTAATTCCCTGTTCATCAAGTGTATGGTCTTATTTTGTATGGTCTTGCCTTCCTTCTATCCTGGCTACAGCAAAGGTCAAAGAATCAATGAAAGACATCAATGTTTCTTTAGGATATGGACCCAGTGTTATCAATCCTCATAAAGGATTCTCATCAAAAATCTTAATCTTACAGTTAATTCTGCCCTTCCTTTCCACCCAAGTTCTAAAAGCTGGGATATTGCATGGTTTCTGTTGCCAAGACCACAGCTTGCAGCTCCATTTAAGTAACAAGCTCTTCTCTTCTTGGCCTTCTGCTTTTGTAATAGTCCCAGGATTGGTGTCCTACCTGCTCTTACCAATTATTGTAGGGACTACACTCTTGCCTTTGAAGGCATATACATACAGTTTGTATACTCTCCCTTGATGGGAATTTAGAAATCCTTGGTTCTCTATGTTTTTTACAACTTGAGAAATAGATGCATAGTGCCAAATGAAAGCAAAGCACAGCATCAGTACTATTTTTAGCAAAATTGAATTGGAGACTGTGGCTATGGTTTTATTGAAAAAGAGGGTTTTTCCCTCTCTTCCTAAAGCTAGATCTTGAGACATTTGTCTAGAAAGTTGGCATACAGGGATGACTTTTATATTTGGAGATGCCACATAACTTCATCAGAAATATATTTCCTAAAGGATGCATAATTCCAGAGAGAAACAAAGGATTGGAGATAGCCAGGTACGCCTTCAAGTGAACCTTTAGAAGGTCTGATTTGCTACCTGGGTCAGAGAGATGAAAATCTTCCTTAGTGATTAGAATAACAGAAGAGAGATAAGAACAGGCCCACTTCCATTTTGTTTTGTTTTTTAGGCTGTGACATCATTCAGGGTTAATGTGATAGTATATACCAGGCTTTCCCCATGCCAAAATTAACATGTCATTTCTCTTTATAAATGGATGAGCAAGGGGAATGTTGTTAGAAAGGAGGCAGGAATGTTTAATACTGCCCTCTCTTGGGGTAGAGTGATCATCCAAAATTAGTAATATAAAGGTAGGAGAATGTTCCCTCTGACATCCAGAACAATATTTGGTGTCAGCATACCTTCAGTGTTTGCTTTACAGATGGGGAAACTGAGACTTAGAGATGTTAAGTTGCAGGAGGACATATGCCTATTAAGTGGAGAATCAGAACTTGAACTTGGCCTCTAATGCTTATTGATAGACTACCTTGAACAGAAACACCTGCCTGCCTGGCATTCCATCTACACCACCCAGCTTCCTTCCTCATTCTAGTTTGTGGTTCTGTTCTACAAGATAGAGCCTATAGACTCTTTCTTATCTTTCAGTAAATACACACAAGTAAACCCCAATTCTGACTATTTCAATGATATAATCTGCTATGGATATAATATCTGGCATTAATGAAAAAAATGAGGAGAATGAGATAAATGTTTTTATTTAACTTTGTAGAGTCCAGAGTAAAAATACTATTCTATTCTTTTCTTAAAGTCTTTATATGTTTATTTGGGGGAGTAGCAGCACGCAGAGAATGTGGACTGTACTTTCTTAACAAGAGAAGCAGATGTCTTGATACAGAGAAATTTATTTGCCCATTAAGAGCAAAGACACATTTGTAGACAATAAAAGATTTGATTTATTTCACTACTTGTGAAAAAAAAACCCGCTTATAATCTGTAAGTGAAACTTCTCTGTGTCTTTTAGAGAGATCTGTGATAGATCTACATGATAAGGAATAGTATAGTGAGATTAAATTTGGAGGAAAAATTTTAAAGCTAGAATGTAAACCTCGTGAGTGATTTTTGTCCACCCTATTCACAGCTGTGACCCCAGCATTTAGAACATTCTAGGCGCATTAAATATGTGTTGAATGAATGAGTAAAATTTTGTAAGAATCTTAAGTCATAGGGAGTTGGGTCATAAGTAGCTCACTAGAGTCTAAAGATGAATAATCAGTACTATGATAGGATGTTGCTGTTCAGAATTCATTTCATTTTGTGGTATAATTCAGTTAGCCCTGGGTACATCTCTGAATTAGGTAAGGTTTACATTTGGCCCCCGATGCAGTTGAGCCCCTTAGAGATACCTTCTTTTCACTCACTTTATGTGTCCATTTCCTATGGTCCTTCCATTCATTTTCACTTTATGGTTCCTAAATATAAAATATGCTTTGAGGGAAACATCTCTAATTAATAACAAGTGATGCATACCCACTCTGATTTTTAAAATTTTTGATAGGGATGAACATATACACTCAAAACAAAAGAAGAAAAAAGAGAAAAAAAATAAGTCTCCTTGGTTGAATTTCATGTAAGTGACATCCTTTAGGGAATTTACTGATGGCACCACCAGATAGTTTCTGGCTCCTGTGTCATTGAAGTACAAGCAGAGCCTGTTTAGTCTGTGTATTTGACCAGTTGTGGAACTGAGTTTGTGATCACTCAAACGCATTGATTAATATTACTCTAAAACGTTTAGTGCTATTTAGGGTGTCTTTCTGGGTAATAAGAGCTATTCAACTCAATATGATTGTGCTTTGGACTAAAAGGACTAACTAAAAGTTTTGGACTAATTAAAAGTTGCATTATTTATTAAATGCAACTGCTTCAATTACAGGTTTATTAAGGTTTCAGGGAGAATTTTGAGAAAGAACTTTGAGAAAGAAAAGAAGAAAGAGTCATCAGAATGTCAAATTTCTTCACTTTACAATATTATACATCTCTCTAACAAGATGGACAGATTCATCACATGGGGCTAGTAGCAGAGGCTTTCAAACAAAGAAAGCCACAGAGCAGAGGTAACATACATTGATTATGTGTCTAATTTAATATGTGTTCATCAATTTAACTCCTTCATAGATTTATAAACACTAGTGCATAACCTAGGGAAAGAGAAGTCTTTGTTTTAAATATCAGCCTTGTATTCATTCATGGAGGGAAGGAACCTAAAAGTTTATGAAGAAATAATAGAAATGATAATATGTCCCTTATGTTATTTGATTTACTCCAGTATTAGACTGTGCAATTTCCAACTTGCCAAATGAAGACTATGAAAACAATGTGAATATTCCCTCTGGGAATTGTCATTTTTTATGTGAGACTTTAATTTGTTTAAGTCAATAGCCAGTGGCTCTATTGAAAGAAACTGCATTCTTGTCATTCTTGTGTTCTATGATACAAACTATAACAGCAGGCATCTAAGAGGTGCTCAGTAAATATTAATGTGACAAGAATCAACAACTTTTCCCAATGTCTCTGTATTTTCTCTATATAATTTAATATTTGAACATCAACTCTCCTACTACTGGTAATAAATATGTAAATTAATTAATTAATGGTACTCACAAGTCTCTTTAAAAGTTTTCACTACTTTTATATTTTCAGTTCTTATGATCATATGAAGATTATGTTGAAGTATCCTGCATCAGGAGCATGGATCAGCAGTGAGTCTTTTTTATTATTGAATTGTATTATTTAATTATTGTTTATTTGGGGAGCAGAATGAAAGTTGTTCTATTAAGCAGTTAGTGAAAGTGTTCTATTCCTTGCTAAGGCCCATGCCAAAGGCTGAAGACTGAAGGGAAAAATCTATACTAGCCTTCCCTTCTCTCCAAGTTAGATGTAGCTCTCATGCAGAAACATAATCCTGATGTTTATCTCAGTATATGCCAGATTGAGGCCTACAGGAGGCACCCTGCCCTGTGTTGGTGAGGTCCTGAGGAAGGAGCCATCATCTCCACACTCTGACTCCTCCAGAAAGAACTCCTTGCATTGGCTCTGGGACTTGCTTTCATAACCTTTTATGGTGATGAATTCCTAGACTGCAATCAGTTATCTCAAGCAGGTGGACATTAATATCACTTGATGGGAGAATGAACAAAGCAAAAATGACAAGAAATGCAAATTAAGGAAGTTAGAATCTTTCTCATTCACGTAAGAACTACTAACGGAAATAAAGATGGTAGTATTTAGCAGAGAATGATGCTAGATTAGTAGTAAGAACACTTTGGGATTCTGCCTCTGCCACCAATTAGCACTGGGTCAGGCAATTTAGTCCATCCTCTTTAAGCCTCATTTTCTCTATAATGACTCCTACTTCAAAAGTTTGAGTTGTAAACTTCAAAGGAGATAATATATGCAAAACCCTAATACATGCCAAAAGCTCGTATTAATATTATAATGTTTTATGGTTTTCCATGAAGACCAGCTTAACCACTGTCTGCTCAGTAAATTTTCACCTCTGTAGGTATACTTTTTGCCAATTTCTAATAAATATATCTTTTAATTACCAAAAGATATTGAAAGTTTTTAATCTCACAAATAGCCCAAAATGTGATTTCCATTATGTTCACTGACATTATACTATGCACAAAATCCATCTACATTTTTGTGGGTGCTGCTAGTTGTTACATAAAACCTGAACAAAGGAGAAATGTGAATAATGCTGCAATTCCCTTTCATCTTCTTCCCCCTCAGAGACGTTTTAGAGTCTTCAAAATGATTCTTTGGCAAGTCAGACTACAGTTTGCGGTTTCTCATTTTGCTGGAGAAATGACTAAGTTCTATGTTTTTAATTGTTCTTTAAGACCTTAGCTTCTCTCTTGAGAGGATGAAAGACAAGTATAGCATGTGAGCCATGCTTTTCTCATTCAGAAACACAGTGCAGGGAGAAAAGAAATGGCCTTGAATACTTCACAGGCTCAGCACCTCTGAGGCTTGGAAAGGCAGCGTACTTCTAGAAGCCTTCTAACATAGCCTGTTAGCAAGAAATGGGAGAACGGTACTTCCCTTGGGCTGTGTTTAATTTTACAAAGAATGGAAAAGGTATTGGCTTTTCAAAATGCAGCAGAGGCATTGTGTCTATTCCTTGTCTAAAGTTTGATTTAGTTGGTGGGAAGAAAAAAGAAAAGAAAAAGAAAGAAGCCAACTTATTTTAGGGGTGTGACGTTTTCTTTATCTTTGTTAAGATCACTGAGAACTCTGTAATTATCTTCACACAAAATCTAATGCTTTGTACCCATGCCACTGTCTTCTTGCTGCTGTTCCAACAATCCTTGCCCTCACTTAGAGAATACATTTGAAAAACCCTTACTTTTTCACTTCCCTGTTTTTTCCCCTTTGCTGTTCCCCACCTTTGGAATCCCCTATTTCTCTCCACTTATTGTTTTTCAAAGATCTAAATTCTTCCCAAACCTACCCTAATCAGTATAAATCCAAAGGAGCTCTTCTTTGTCTGTAAACTGATGCTTGGTTTACTTGTACCTCTCATTTGACAGTTAATCATGTTCTGCCTTAAGGAATAGCTCTGAGATTGTTGTTTTGCAGTGGTATTCAATTTACCATACAGTGACACCTTGTCTTTCAATCCAGTTTGTAGGTTTCAGAGTGCCATTCCGCCTTATACAAATAAGGTTCACCCAATTGTTGTTTTTTTAAATGAATGTTTATTACTTAATTTAGTCTGAGATTTATTTTTATTAATTCCTTTATAATTGTATACTTGTCAAAGAGTCAAGAAGAATAAGAAATATACTCTGATTTGCTGCTTAATTGGCTTATAAAGTATCCATATAAAAGTTGATGTCCCCTAAAATCCTAGCACCCTTGGGAAATGGTCAAGTCACTTTTTGTTTCATCTTTAGTCTTGCAGTGACTCATGTGCTCAAAGCATATGTCTGTGTCTCTTTTTAAGAAAGATATTGTGTTTATCCTAAAACTATTAATTAAGGAAATGTTAGAGAATCAGAAGAAATCATGAATGTCAAGTTAATTAACTAATAGGGGTTAGGGATAGTAAAAACATAATTGGGGCTGTAGGCTTTGAATCAATATAATTAATTCATTGGTTTGAAAGAGAGTGGTTCATATTAATGTATCCTTAAAATAGTTCTTGCTGAAAGCATTTTCTTTGGCTATATAGATAAGGCTTACAATACTTTGAGCAAAGAGATATAATTAGAACATTGAGCCCTATAATTATTAAGTGGACAAATATCTGGGGGCTACCAGTTCACCCATCCCTTCAAACCAGCATGGAAGGGGGTCAGGATTAACTCAGGACCTGGCAGTGCTCCAGTTAAGATTGCCTCTCTTGCTTCAACACCAGAGTGAGTAATGCACAGCCTAAGCAAGCCCTTCTCTCCACTATTCTCTTCCCCTGCCAAAAGAGCACTCTGATATCCTAACCATCACTAACTACCTTGAGCCAAAAGGTGTAATCTCATGTCCTTAATGTCCGTTTACATCAGTATTCAAGATGTCCAGAACTCCCAGACCATCTCGCCGCTCAGGGGGATTCTCCTCCCAATGTGGCTCAATGGACAGTGAAGCCATAGTTCATCATCATCCTCCCTGCCCCTTCTCTCTATAATATTTGTTCATAGCACTTATCACCAGCTGGAATAGCATATGTTTTACTAATTATTTGTCTCCCCTGACTCAATTATATGCTCTATGAGGTCAAGTTTATGTGTGCATGTGTGTATGAATGTCTGTTTCTGTGTCTCTAGTGTTTAGAATAGTGTCAGCCCATCATAGTAGGCAGTAGATGGACACTTGTTGAATGAATGCATTTAGGAAAGTCTTCCTTGTGAGTCTGTCTGCAAAGGGGGGCAGGGCTCTGCAGAGGCAGGCCTTGCTTAGTGGTTCCTGAAGCCATTCTCTTCAGCTTCAGTTGTTTATTTGTAGCTACCACTTGGCTATTATTATTATTTTTTAATATCTAGGAATGTTTCAAAAAGTCATCTTGAAATGTTTAAACTACAAGGGTTCTATGCAAAGGGATGATCCAAAAGGATAGCACCCACTTTCATGCCTCTAGATGATAACTGAAATAACAAGCCATTCATTCATTCATTCGTCTGTTCATCCAATCATACCTCTACTCAACAAATTTTTGCTGGCTACATATTAAGGGCTGGAAAATGTGTTATATGTTGAGGTTATAATGGCAAGCAAACTCACCAGTCCTTGTTTTCATGGAGAATTTACAGTGGTGTGGAAATGATCTAAATTTTCAATATCAATGCAATGACTGTAGATTAGATTGGATAAGGTTATTTGTATCATATTTTATATACTGGTGATGAAGAATCATATATTATCATTATCCTTGTCTCCCTCTCTAACCATCCTACCTTACCTTCAACCTAGACCTTTTTTCCTCATTATATTTCTATGCTTGGAATACCCTACTTTCCCTCAATTCACTTACTAAATGAGATCCTTTTTCTCCTTTTGAGTAATGAACCACTATCTGCATGTATGTATTAATATCATAAATTTACCACATTGTTTTGTAATTATTTGCTTATTTGTCTTCTCCATTTTAGGACAATATATTAAAAATAAAGTATGTTTCTAATTAATTATTGAATCTCTGAATTCAACAATCAATGAAAACACTCTGATGCATGGAATGATGTGGGTGTGTGAACTACTGCATGAATGAATGAATAAATAAATGATATAATTTTAGTACTCTACTGAATGTTGGATAAAACTTGACATTAGATATGGTCATTCTTTAAGAATTTTAATCATATGCAATAAATATACATTTAGTCTATGACATAAACTTTTATCTTCCTAGTTTTCTTGTAATTTCTGTGTTTATTTATCCATGAGAAGTTTGAGCTTCTTTGCCTCAAAGGTTGATGCCTTTAATTTGTGATAGTAAGAGAGAGTATCTGAAATGCTGCACTGTAACCTCTTAATAGACTTTAAATCTCTATTTCTGCATATTAACTCCATTTCCATATAGCGCATTAGGATTTGCATTAGAAATAATGTTATAGCGATAGTGTCATTATAATTATGGTGGGTCCTCTTTAGGTTTACCAAATTATTTTTGTTGGGTATTTTTATTTTATTTGGTTTAGGATATAGTCAATCACATAATTTAACAAATGTTTATTGAAGGTTTAATGTACAACTGTCACTGTGCTGGGGCCATAGTGAGAAAATAAACAAGGCAGACAAATTTCATGAGAGAAAATACCAATTTCAGAAACTTCTATCTAATATCCTATAGCTGTCATAATGTCATAATCTTCACTATCTTTTTTTCCCTGCAAAACTGCCTTTCAGCAGATAAGTTGATCATCACCATTCACATTGGCCAACATATCTTCATATAGTATGTAATGTAGTTAGCTCTGAATAATTATAAAAATCTACCTTATTGCTTTCCTTATTGCTTTTTCCTTTAACTTATCAACACATCATGTTTACAATCTTTTAAATGGAAAATATCAAACATAAAAAATATAGAAAGAATAAGTAGAATAGCGTGGTGGATTTTCAGGAACCAATAACTATGTCAATAATTAGCAACTCTGAGTCAATCTTGTTTGATCTGTAGCTCCATCAATTTGTCTTCCTCTCCACCTATACCACACATATTGTTTTGAAGTAAACATATAAACTGATCCTTAAATATTTG